TCTGTGAAATATGCTGTTGGTATTTTAATAGGAATTGCATTGAATTTATAAGTTGCTTTGGGTAGTATGGACATTTTAATGATATTAATTCTTCCAATCCATGAACATGGTATATTCTTCCACTTGTTTATGTCTTCCTCTATTTCTTGTTTCAGTGTCCTGTAGTTGTCTGAGTACAGGTCTTTTACATCCTTCTTTAAGTTTATTCCTTGGTATCTTATTTTTTTAGTTGCAATGGTAAATGTATTGTTTTTTTAGTTTCTCTCTCTCTGAAAGTTCATTGTTGGTGTATAAGAATGCCATTGATTTCCGGATGTTGATTTTGTATCCAGCTACCTTGCCAAATTCATTTATCAAATCTAGTAATACTTTGATGGAGTCTTTAGGGTTTTCTATGTATAATATCATGTCATCTGTAAATAATGACAGTTTTACTTCCTCCTTTCCAATTTGAATACCTTTTATGTTTTCTTCCTGTCTGATGGCTGTGGCTAGGACTTCCAGTATTATGATGAATAAGAGGGTGAAAGTGGACATCCCTGTCTTGTTCTGGTTTTTAATGGAAATGTTTTTAGTTTTTGCCCATTGAGTATGATGTTGGCTGTAGGTCTGTCATATATGGCCTTTATTATGTTGAGGGTTGATCCCTCTATTCCCACTTTGCTGAGAGTTTTTACCATAAATGAGTGCTGGATTTTAAATATCTCTTTTTTAAATGAAGGAGATGATAAAACATAAAATTTAAGGTATGGTTAACCTTTGGTGGGGAGATAAGTGGATGTGACAATGTAGCAGTTGGTAGAAGAAAGCTATTGATAATGGTCTAGTTCTTAAGTTTAGTATTGGGCTCAAAAGTGTTCAGTCTATTTTTTCCTGTGTAATTTATACACATGTATATTCTTTTATATGTATTAAATATAATATTAAAGTAATATATTTGTTTTTCAGAAGTCTCCCTGAACCTTCGAGATCCTCCAACTAATATAACGATCATTCCAGAAAAGCAGTTGAAACCAGAATGGAGATTACCAAAATTAAATCACCGCTTTATCACAAGGTAAAATAACTTCTTATAAAATATCTTAAATAATTTTTAATACTAGTCATTGAAATAATGTATTATAATTTGCTCAAAATCTACTCAAAATTTTGCTGTTGTAATTATGTAAATGTATATTTTAACAACCATAGTTATAAAATGCTTTTTCACTGTTTAAAGATACAAAATCTATTTAATTATTTATTTTTTTAGATCAGAACTGGACGATATGCCAGAAAAGCAAATCTGTGATGTTGTTGGCCTTTTAGTTTTTGTAGGGAGGGTCCAGCGGTTAAAAAAGAAAGGTAAGGTTTTGAAATTTAAAGTCATAAAAAGTATTTCAGTGAATAGTTCTTTGTTTATATGTGCATAATCAGTTACCTTCACTTATTTTAATATTATATCCATATAGAAAACAGTGAAGATTTCTGGTCATATCGCTGGATTCACATTGCTGACGGGACTTCAGAACAACCATTCATAGTGGAACTGTTTTCTACATCTCAGCCAGAAATCTTTGAAAATATCTGCCCAAGTACTCAGTTCCAATACTTTTATCTTTTTATTTTGCAAGTGGGGGCATTAACTTTAAGAATGGTAAACTTAATTATGGAATGTCATGATACTGAGTTAGCAAATTCAAGTAGTCTGATACCATGTTTCAATTTTTTCTATATTAATATCATATTTGGTATTACATGTTAACCACCTTCTGGTTTTTGATTCAGGATTAATTTGGGATTGAACTAGTTTTTCAGAAAACATGTGCTCTTAATAGTTTTCATTGTTAGCATTTCTGATATAAAAGCTTAAGATTCAGAGAAACTAAAACATAGGTAGTCAATTCTCTTTGTATACACTTGGAAATTGACTAAGTAGACCCCATTGAAAACAACGAAGACTTTCCAAATGTTGAATTAATTGGTAGGAGATTGGCAGGCTGTGTAATTAAATACTGACAATGATAAGTATAATTCCATTTGAGTATTAAATTAATATTAGGTTGGTAGTAGTATACCAGCTGATTAATATTTTACTTACTTCGTCATTGACCTTTTCCCCTTGCATTCATTCAGATGTATAGGTGTTTTACTACTGATTTTATTTATTTGAAAATATTTTAGGTGTACCCTATCATACATTTTATATAAAAAGTTAGTTTTTAGATCTATTATAAGAAAAAAAAGTGTAAATAATTCTTTTTAACAACTTCAGTGAATTTTTCCTTCAGTGAATTCTTTGAATTTGTAGCATGAAGCTATTTTAGATATGGTGTGCTATTTTACTATTTTCCAAATTATTACATGAATTAAATACCAATTGTTAGATGTTTGTTAACATTAGGGAAACTCTTAATTTTGACTACATGCAATTCTTTTTAAAATCAGCAACATGGTAGGTAGAAATTGTAGATCAGGAGACCTGGAGACCATATACAAGGCTGTTCTGCTACCCCTTTATTCTCTATTGCAAAACAGTATTATACACTCTTCAGATATTACCTCATTAGAATCCACTCTCTGTTTGTGAGATTATTTTTAAAATATATCTTAATAAAACCAAACCTCACCCCAACTACTGGGGGAAAGGGCAAAAAGACAGTTTTAGCCAAAACTAAGGCCTGGTCTTCCAAGGTGAGTGGGGCTATATAACTTCTCCAAGGGCATGAATGATTGGTAGGGATGACCTCTGATGACAATTGTATTATCTCATTTTAGATGAGTTATGGCCAGGTTCCTTTCTCTTTGTAGCCACTTTAAACAACAAACTGACACAAGATTTGGATAATGCTTTTTCACAGAAATGTTGCCAAGCATACATGTTCTATTTCTTGTGATAATGTGATATATACATACACACACACACACACACACACACACACACACATACATATACATATATACATATTTTTTAAATACATCTTTTATTGATTTCAGAGAGAGGAAGGGAGAGGGAGAAAGAGAGCTAGAAACAGCAATGATGACAGAATCATCATTGATCGGCTGCCTCCTACATGCCCCTGACTGGGGATTGAGCCCGCAACCCGGGCATGTGCCTTGACAGGGAATCGAACCTTGTTCTCCTGGATCATAGGTCGATGCTCAACCACTGAGCTAGGCCCAGCCAGGCATGAAATATATATTTTTAAAGAAAGCTTTGTATGGACTTTGGTGAGATTTTCTCTAGTACAATAGTTAACAATAATCACAATATATTTTCATCTTTTGACCAAGAGTGAAGGGGAAAAAAATCATTAAATGCATGGTGAGTATTAAGGCGGCTTTAGGCCTAAGATAGGAAACACGACCAAGGGTCTTCTGGAATAATACCCAAATTCTTTGGTAGTAGAGCATCTTTTTTTACTTTTAAGGAAAGTGAAGAACTAAGAAAAACTAATATTGAGTGTTTACTATCTATCAAATGCTCATAGATGTTGTCTCATTTTGTACTCCCAGTTACCTTTTTTTTTTCTTTAATGTTTTTATTGATTTCAGAGAGAGGAAGGGAGAGGGAAAGAGAGATAGAAACATCAATGATGAGAGTCATGATTGGCTGCCTCCTGCACGCCCCCTACTGGGGATCGAGCCCGCAACCCGGGCATGTGCCCTGACCGGGAATCGAACCTCGATCTCCTGGATCTCAGGTAGATGCTCAGCCACTGAGCCACACCAGCTGGGCTCCCAGTTGCCTTTTAAAGAGCTGATGTATTTACAAATTTACAGGTGAGGAAACAAAGGTCCAGAAGGGTTAAGTAATCTCCTGGATATCAAATAGCTGTTCAGTATTAGATATATATGTCTGATTTTTAACAGCCATGAAATTAGAATAAGGTATTTTGTTAATGTTCCTATATCAACATCTTTAACCATGAATACTAACATATTTTTACAATTTTTTGAAGTAAAAGAAAAGCAATATAAATTAGGAGAACTATTCTTAGTCATTTGAACAGATTTCCTTTATTTGCATTGCTATAAAATAAAGATCTAATAAATATAAAATGTAGGAAATGAATTTATAGTTATATCATGCTCTAGCAGAATATTTATTCTCAAGTGAGAATTTACTGTTGTGAGATTACAAGTATTTACATTTATTTCTTTATTTCTCAGTTTGTAAGACCATAGCTGTTTTGCTATGTAATGAGTTCAAATTTTTAAAAATTGTTAGATTGATGAAATTTTCACAAATAATCTGATAGATATTTAAAAACAATTGATAGCTTTTGAAAGTACTTAACATCTGAAGACATTATAATCTTATTTTCAGGGATTCTTTTTAGCTTATCAAATTTGTTAGCAAGGTGAACAGAAAAGAATAGGTAGTATAAGCTCTGTCATTGAAGATTAAAGTCTACTTAAGGTCAACACATGTAAAATACTTTCATAAGCAAATTCAAATTAATACTGTATAGCTCTATCTGGGGGAAGGAGTTAGAGTAATTTAGGGATCAGTATTAAACTGAGTTAATCAGTGAAAACATCATGGAGAAACTAAGCCTTTTTTTCTCTGTAGGGGATAATTGTTCACATTGTGTTGTGTGCCCCATTAGAAAGACTCTTGCACTCTTCAACTGTTCAGCAAGCAGTGGCTTCAGTTAGGTGCAGCCATTGTACATTCTAAGGGAAATGTGTTAGGTCTTTTATCTAAAGGAAAAGGTAAGTATTAGATCCTTGTTGCTCCAAGGGTAGTTAAGGGACTGGTAGCTCTAGTATCACCTAGGAGCTTATTAGAAATGGAGAATCTCAGACCCTACCCTAAAACTACTCAATCTTAATTTGTATTTTAACAATTATCCAAGTGATTCCTATATTTATTAAAGTTTGAGAAGCACTGTGTTAAATCCTTACCTTGGTATGTTCTGTTTGAAATGCAGAAGTAATTGCATAAATGTTTTCATTTTCCACAGTGACATATTTCATATGCACACAATTGAAAGTTGTCAGAAATAACAATCAAGTACCTAAACTGCTTTATCTCACCACTACAAATGAGAGTCGAGTGTTTATTACTGGTGAGCAATTTCTTTGTATATACTTTATTGAAAATGTAATATATTTTCTCTTCATTAAATTAACTTTTACATTACAACATTCAATCACAAGACAGTTCTATTTTGACCTTCTTTATCTCTATGACAATGTTTTAACAGAGAATATTTAGCCTATGAAATATGTTCCTTCTAGATTATTTACGATTGAAGCAATGATTTTGTGATTCCCTGAAGAATTATGTTTATATCCTTTGGCTAACTTTAATTCCTGCTTGCTTTAAGCTTGATAATCATAAATTGTTTGATAGATTGAAGACATGGATTCAATTAACAATATCTTAAAATACTAAATAAAACAAAAATGTGCATCAAATTTTGGCCCCAGGATCTCATATTTTACTTATATAGCAAGAAGAGTCTCACTACTTATCTATAAGTACATTATTTTTCTCTGTTCCCTTTGATAATGGGGTCATAACAATAAAGGTAAAAGTTTCCAGATTAGTGAGGAAGTAGTGTGGAATGGTGTGTTTACAAGAATGCTGCCATATTGGTGATTAGGAAATTTGTCAAAAGAAGAGTCCTAGGAAGCGTGTAACGCACATCTTTGTCAATACCTCATTTTATAAATACTAACAACATAAGATGTAAATAGCACTTTTAAGTATGTTTCAAGATCATGAATTTAAATGCTGAGCTATACTCATAGGCAATTTAGTTCATACATGATGCCATACCTTCAAGATAATACATGATTTTAAAATCAATTTTTTATGAAGACACCAACCACTTGGATAGTTAGAAAAATCTCAATTATTAGTTTTCTTTTTCATATGGCTTTTTAGTATCACATAGACAGCTACAGTTTAGTCCATTAAAACTTTATTATGTCTAGATTTCCTTCTTGATTTAGGATTTGTTTACTTTCTTTGATAATTTTTGTATGCATATTAAGTATAATTATCTGCTACATAGAGAATAAGTGAACTTGACTTATTTTCTTGGTGACATAAGAAACTGTTTTCATATTAAACTGTTTTTATACAAAAATGTCCATGCAGTTTATTACAGTAAATTGGTCCCCCCCTCTTTTTTGTCGCTTTACCCTCTTTGCAAATAGGTCATAGAGGCCAGCCATATATCAATGAAACCAAGGTAAAAAATTTTATTCACTGGAATAAAATAAGGACTGAATCTGGAGAAAGGAAGAATACTGTTATTGGTGGATATTACCCCTATCCACCAGTGCCAGAGACATTTTCAAAGTATAGTACTTCTGTTAAAGGTATTAATATAATTGCTACTTTTTAAATATGTTTATTTGCTATATGTGTGGTATATGATATATCAGTTAGTCTTTCTTATTCTTTTATTTTATGGGAGTGAGCCAAAATATAGCAACACTCACTGATAATACTGTTGTCTTTCTGAAGATCTAAAGATGTCATACCTCCTAAAGGTTAATATTTTCATTTTATTGGACTGGAACAAGAGAAAGAACGTAGACGATGACTAACTAGAGATAATAATTTAATGTCATTGAGATTTAATATGACCTTAGTAGATTTCAACTCTTATGACATTACATAGAGAGACTAAGATATCAAAGGGGACACTGGGCAATTTGATATCAAGATATTGAACACTGTATTATGCTACTCTTATGGAGTAGTATAGTATTTAGATGATGATAGATCAGTATTTCAAAGTTTCTCTTTTTCCCCCAAAACCATGCAATTATCTCATAGTTTTAAAAAACAATATACTTATGTTAAACTTTTCAACTGTGGTATCTTAATTGTACTAAAATTAATTTATGTTAGGCCTCTCTCATCAGTACTTATTTTGCATCTCATTTATTCTGGTGTTATTTTTATTTAAAGGTAGCACTCAGTTGTGTTATATCCAATATACAGGGGTGTGCAAAAGTAGTTACAATTGTGAGTATGCAAAGCACAGAATTTATTCTTGTATTATTTATTAATTATTATATTACTTTCCATACAAACAACTGTAAACCTACTTTTGACCCACCCTATATTGGCATCCTTTCGTACTTTATAATGACATCAATTTGTAGTATATATTTAAAAATATTCAAATATGTGTGTCTATGCAGTGACTAGGCAACACTTTATATTCTGAAATATAATCTATAAATTACATTCAATATGCAAAATTTCTGTTTCTGTATCATGATTTAACTGATAAGTATGTTTTGCCTATTTTACAAAAATTACATAAGAAGATGCCAAATATAAACTTAAAATCACAAATTTAAGTTATGTGGCAAGTTTATAATTTCATGTTGTGAAATTACATTGCAAATCTAATTCTTATTTTTAGCATTTAAGTTCTTTAAAACTTATAATTTCCTTGGAATTACTCTTTCGCAGTTCAGACGCTCCTGACAGCTATAAGTGAAGTGAGGAAGGAGATTGGAAACTTGCAGTATAGGGAACAAAAACGCATTGCAATTCAGGGGATAATTACGATTGTAAAGTATATCCCCCATGGCACTGCAACTGGAAGTTCCTCAGCATCAGAAACACATCAGGTATGGTGCCAGAGAATTAATAGTTTATCGCTGAAAACACTGTGATCGTAATTACAATTCATGATCATTTATGATCATTTTCCTTGTTCATTTTATTCAGAACTCACATGTATTGATTCTTAATGGTGTAAAAGCAAGATGAAAAATCATTGGTTTTTTTGTTTGTTTCCTTTTTCTGTTATTTATTTATTTTGGAGCAGGCTGGGCAGAAGGCCACAGCCTCTGATATTTCCCAAGGCCCTCAAAATTTGGTATCTTGTTTGTACTTTCTGCAAAAGTTGATTATATCATGATTGTCATTTAAATTCCCAAGTGGTATATATGATTACAGGCATCCTTGGAGATATTGTGGGTTCAGTTCCAGATCACTGCAATAAAGTGAATATCACAATAAAGCAAGTCACATGAAGTTTTTGTTTTCTCAGTGCATATAAAAGTTACATTTACACTATACTATAGTTTATTAAGTGTGCAATAGCATTATATCTAAAAAACAATTTACATACCATAATTTAAAAATACTTTATTGCTAGAAATATTAACCATAATCTGAGCCTACTGGAAAAATGGTGCCAATAGGTTTGCTCCACATAGGGTTGCCTCAAACATTCAATGTGTGAAAAACTCAATATCTGCGATGCACAATAAAGAGAAGTATGCCTGTATATTCTTTTCTTTTTGTCAAGACTAGAACTTTAGGTACACTCCCACAGGAAGTTTTTACATCTGTATATGGCATGGCAGTCTTAGCCAAGTTGTATAAGACACCACTTCTGAAATCTAGGCACAATCAAAACAAATAAGTTAATTTTTTCCCTGAGTTTATCTTTTTAAAAATTATTTCTAGGATTATTGTTCTTATGGAAATACACATCTAATCCAACTTTTCAGCTGTACTAATATAAGAGGGACTTTTGTTTATTTTCCTTATTTTAACAGAAGATGGATTAGGATAAATCATCTTTATAAAAGCACTATTATGTTTTCAACATTTTGTCACAACTCTTAAGATTATGAAAAATGGGTAAACTAAAATTGTAGACTTTTAAGATAAATAATTTTGATGAATTAATTTAAAATGTTTTCTCTAAATTTTTGGTTTTAGAATGCTAACCAACCCTCAACATCCCAAGCAGCAGTAAGAGAAAGTCAAAGTCAGGGACTAAATGGTAAACGGCATCAAGATGATGGTCTTATGGGTTCTCAAATTACATGTACAACTTTGAGCCCTACCAAGAAAAAAAGGATTCTACAAGGGCCATTTGCCAAACCGTAAGTCATTTGTATTAAGTATTACATAGCATATTAGTTTTTTTGGTTTGTTTCTACCTTGTAAAATGAGCAATTGTACTAGAAGTTATATTAGTTTTCTAGGGCTGCTGAAATTCGAAATCAAAGTATTGGTAGGGTGAATTCCTTGTAAGAGGTGTAAGGTAGAATCTGTTCCCTTATCCTCCCCTAGCTTATGGTGGTTTACTGGCAATATTTGGCATTTCTTAGCTTTAGAATCACCCCAATCTCTGCCTTGATCTTCACCTGGAATTCTCCCTATGTGCTCATCTGTTTCCAGATTACCCTTTTTTATAAGGACAGAATCCATATTGGATTACGGATACACTCTGGGGTACTGGTCTATTCCAGTATTATGTTATCTTAACCAATTACATCTTCAATGACCCTGTTTCCAAATAAGGTCACATTCTCCGTGTCCTTGAAGATATGATCAGTTACATGTTGGTAGTCTGCCTTCTGGCCCCTAAAAAACTTATGTCCTCACATGCAAAATACATTCACCCCATCACAACATCCCCAAAAGTCTTAACTCATACCAACATCAACTCTAAGTTCAAAATCTCATCTAAATATCATCTAAATCATGTGTGGATGAGGTGCAGGGTGATTCATCCGGAGTCAAAATTCTTTTCTGTCTGTAAACCTGTGAAACTACATGTTATCTATCCAAAATACAATTGATGGGAAAGGCATTCCAAAAAGGAAGAAACTGGAAGGAAGAAAAGAATCATGGGTCACAAGCAAGTTTGAAATCTAGCAGGGTCAGTTCCACTTGATTTTAAGGCTCCAGAATTATCCTCTCTGGCATGATACTATTATGTTCTCTGGGCTCACCGGGTCGCAGCCTGAGTGGTGGCTGGCTCTGTACTCTGGAACCAAGGAGATGGTCCTGTCTTCTAGAACTAAAGAGAAAGCCTTACCCTCAGGATTATTCTTCCCTTTTTTAAAGAATAATGCATGATCACAGCTGGATATCTCTATCAGCTCATTTCCTGACTTTAGAATTCCAGAAGTCTGACAGCCTTTCTTCATCTCTTCTCACCTATATCCCCTTCAGTCTAAGCTAACGGCATGTTGACTGAGATGGTTGATTGGATCCACAGGTCACAAGCCTAATCTATTGGTCAAATAGTTGTCCAACAATACCCTTGGTGTTCTATCCAGAGCAAACTTTTTCATTTTTTGCAATTGAATAGGCTTAGGATTTTCCAAGTATTGAAGTTGTGGTTCCTTTTTTCTTAACAATTCTCTTTTCAAATCCCTCTACCCTCTCATCTTTTATTATAAGCAGCAAGGAAACATTAAGTTGTGCCTTCAGCACTTTGTAAGTTCAGCTAAATATGCAAGTTCATTGCATACAAGTTTCACTTTCCATCCAACAAAACACAATTCAGCCAAGTCCTATGTTATTTTATAACAAGGAGCACCTTTCATCCAGTTTCCAATAGCACATTCTTTATTTCTGTCTGAGACCGTGCAAGAAGCACCATTTACATTCATATTTTTTGCAACATTCTGTTTATGAGAATATGTGTATTCCCTCAGAAAACAGAAGCTTTATCTACAGCTTTCTTCTTTTCTTTCTGAGCCTTCAACAGATTCTCCTTCAAAATCCACATTTCTACCAACATTCCCTTCAAGGCAAAGCTTTTTCTATTATGCATCTCAAAACTCTTTCTGCCTCCACTTAATACCCAATTCCACATTTTTTATTATTTGTTACAGCAGCACCCCACTTCCCTGTACTGAAATCTGTATTAGTTTTCTAGGGCTGCTATCACAAAGTACCACAATTTGTTTGGCTTAAACAACAGAAAATTGCTTTGCTGGCAATCTTCAGTATTCCTGGGTTTGTAAAAACATCACCCCAATCTGTGTTTGTGTTCAGATATCCCCTTTTTATAAGAACATCATCTTAACTAAGTATATCTTCAGTGATTCTGTTTCTAAATAAAGTCACATTTGAAATACTGGGGGTCAGAGCTTCCACATATGCATTTTGGGAAGACACAATTCAACCCATAACAGAAGTTCTATCTGCCTTGCTCAACATAGACTAATCAAAAATTAATTTAAAATGGGGAATTAACCAAAAATAAACATTTTAATTTATTTATGCATTATGTTTTAATTTAAAATACTATAAATGTATTTAATTTAAAATAATTTCTTCACTAGCTGTCTAAGCATGGATCTTTCCTACATAAACTTCTCCATTATGAATTGTATATGATTAACAGCCTTGGTTTCTTTGTAGTAGCAGCAAAACTGAGAAACTAATAAAGGAGGTGGAGTACAGAATCATTTAGATTTTTTAAAACAATTAATGCTAATCTTTTATAATAGCTATGTCCAGTTTGGGGTTGTATACTGAGATTGTATCTGGCTACTTGAGCTAGAAATTTAAATCATTGATTTTTGGTTCTTCCTTTCTAACGTATGCATATTTGCTATACATTTTTCTCTGTGCACTGCTTTAGTTAACTCCTACTTCATTCTCAGTCAGTTCAAACATTTTTTAGTTTTCAGTGTGATTCTTTTCTGACTCATGGCTTATTGGAATGTATGTATCATTTAATTTCCAGTCACTTGAAAATTTCTAGTTACTTTTTT